TCTTCTTCTTCTTCTTCTTCTTCTTCTTCTTCTTCTTCTTCTTCTTCTTCTTCTTCTTCTTCTTCTTCTTCTTTTCTTTTTCTTTTTCTTCTCCTTCTCTTCTTCTTCTTTCTCCTTCTCCTCCTTCTCCTTCTCCTCTTCCTCCTCCCCTTTTCCCTCCTCCTCCCAGATCTGGAGAAAGATTGCAAATGAGGTTTCTCTGAGTATAGCCTTACTAAGCAAACTTCAGTTCTACATTCTGGTTACTACATTTTATGAAAGACCACCATTTTTCCCTCTGTCTCTGTAGGGTCTACATGCTCAGTTATCAGACAGCAATTTGGACCCAGTTGAGCTGGAGCGAGCCAAAAAGGGACAGGTATATATATATATTTGTTGTCTCAGACTTTTGTTTCATGTTGATAGACAGCATACAGATGTTCTTTGGGTGTGGCGTAGTTTGGTGTTTCTCTATGAATGTATTCTCTCAGGTTTTCTATGAATATATTCCCTTAGTAGCTTTAGGTTTAAATAGCATTCATACGTCACACTTATCCAAAGTATATTATATGTATCTCAACAAGTTGGTTGGAAGCCCACTGAATTTCCTGTTCTGGGTTTGACATTTTGAATGTAAGGGTTTGTTCAGGTAGTCCTTGATTTACAATTGTTCGTTAGTGACCATTTAAAGTTACAGCGGCATGGGAAAAAAGTGACTTAGGACCATTTTTCACATTGATCAAAATTTGGACGCTTGGCAGCTGGCTCATATTTATGACAGTGTCCTGGAGTCACGTGATCACCTTTTGCGACCTTCTAACAAAGAAAGTCAACGGGGAAAGCCAGATTCACTTTACAGCTGTGTTACTAATATAACAGCTTCAGTGACTCGCTTAACAACTGTAGCAAGAAAGGTCATAAAATGGGAAAGAACTCACTTAACAACTCTCTGGCTTAGCAATGGAAATTTGGGGCTCAACTGTGGTCAAAATCTATTGACTATCTGTGTACGTTTTTAGAGAAAAGGCTTTGAAACTGGAGCAAAAAAACTTACAAGATCAAATGTGTATCTTGATACTTGCTTTGCAGAAATCAGATTACCCCAACGGGATCCCAGAATGCGGGACTGATGCCCTTCGGTTTGCTCTTTGTGCTTACACAACTCAAGGTACATTTCTGGCCTTCACTTGAGAGCCTGACTCAACGTTGTGATGGAATTCCTAATTTTGCTTTCGTGTTGGTTTCTCTCATAATGTCTGTCTGTTGTCTTTCTCTCTCTTCAGGCCGGGATATAAACCTGGATGTGAATCGGATTCTGGGCTACCGCTATTTCTGCAACAAACTCTGGAATGCCACCAGATTTGCCATCCGTGGTCTTGGGGAGGGCTTCCAACCACCCGCCAGTCCAGAGGTAAGCCTGTTCTTCTAGATCAGGGGTAGGCAACCTTGGTCCTTTTATGACTTGTGGACTTCAACTCCCAAAATTCCTGAGCCAGCATGGCTCAGCATGAAAACCTCTCCCTTTCTCCTCAGCTTGGCTGCCTCAGGAATTCTGGGAGTTGAAGTCCACAAGTCATAAAAGAGCCAAGGTTGCTTACCTCTGTTCTACAGTGTCCTTTCCATTTTTGTAGAAGAGCAGGTGATGCTGTGTGTGAGTGTGTGTGTGTGTAGTTAAACACGTCATCAGCTTAGAATCCTTACGTTGCCACAAACAACCCAAGTCCAGCCTCCCTTGAATTCTATCGACCCTTATCTAGTGCCAATACATATAGTACTTCCCCGAAAGTAAGCCTTACCTCCCAAAATAAGTCCTAGTTTGGGGGCGAGGCACAGGCCTAAAACTCAAGCTAGGGCGGGGGTGGGGAGGGGTGGAGCTGCCCACACACCCTACACCCACTTACCATTGCAGCCTGCCTCTCCTCACCAGCCCACTTCTTCTGCAGCATCCCCCGGCCTGCATTTCGCAGTCAGAGGCCTTTCCGGAAGGCCTCTGCAGCTGAGAACCAAGCTGTGGGTCCATAGCTCGGTTTTTGGCTGCAGAGGCCTTCCGAAAAGGCCTCTGAGCACGAAATGCAGGCCGGGAGACGCTGCAGAAGAAGTGGGCCGGCTGGGTGGAGCTGTCAGTGCCGGAGGTGAGTGGAAAAGACACCCCCGAAAATTAAGACCTGGTGCCTCTTTTGGAGGCAAAAAATAAAGAAAGAAAGAAGACCGGGTCTTATTTTCAGGGAAACATGGTATTTCAACTCAGTTGACGAGATTCTGACCTGTAGGCTTGAGTGATAAATACAGGTAGTCCTCGACTTACAACTATTTGTTTAGCAACATTCAAAGTTACAGCGGCACTGAAAAAAGAGACATAGGATTGGTCTTCACGCTTAAAACCATTGCAGCATCCCTACAGTCGGTGATCCGAATTCGGGCACCTGGCAACCAACATGTATTTATGATGTCTGCAGTGTCCCAAGGCCATGTGATCAGTATTTGCAACCTTCCCAGCCAGCTTCCAACATGCAAAGTCAATGGAGGAAGCTGGATTCGTTTAATGACCACGTGATTCACTTAATAACTGTAGTGATTCACTTAACAGTTGCGGCAAACGTAAGATTGGGTGCGGCTCACTTAGCAATCGCCTAACTTAGCAACAGAAATTGTCCCAGTTGTAGACGTAACTCAAGGACTACTTGTAGTTCTGAATTGCTGCTTAACTTACACTCCTTATCCTTTATGCCTGACAATTTTCCTCAGATATTCTTAATAGACCGACCATCCATAGTACAGAGCAGGTCCTTCGTGCTCTCTGAGCTTGCTTGTTTTCTTGCAGAAGTTTCATTACTCAAACTAGGTAACATCATCAGTGCTAGTCCTGATGATGTGGCAGATGTTGAGACTAGCACTGATGATGTTGCCTAGTTTGGGTAATGAAATGTCTGCAAGAAAACTGGAATGGGATGGAATGGAATGGAATGGAATAGAATAGAATAGAATAGAATAGAATAGAATAACAGAGTTGGAAGGAACCTTGGAGGTCATCTAGTCCAACCCCCTGCTCAGGCAGGAAACCCTATACCAGTGGTTCTCAACCTGTGGGTCGGGACCCCATTTGGGGTCAATCGACCATTTCACGAGGGTCGCCAAGCAAGGCTGTCCGCCATTTTTTTTGTCCGCCATTTTTTTCCCCTTTTCCGGCGGGTGCCTTACCTCCCTTGGGCTGGGCCAGCTGGTGGTCGGCCTGCTCCGTCTCTGCCGCTTGCCAGCTACGCCTCGGCCGGCGCAGGGGGCGGAACCACGCATGCACGGCGCTCCTGGGCAGGGAAAGTCCTCGACTTACGACTGGTTGGATAGTCCTCAACTTACGACCGGTTTAGTCCTCGACTTATGACCGGTTTAGTCCTTGACTTACGACCGGTTGGGGTCGCGGCATTAAAAAGGTTGAGAACCACTGCCCTATACCATTTCAGACAAATGGTTGTCCAATCTCTTCTTAAAAACTTCCAGTGTTGGAGCATCTACAACTTCTGGAGGCAAGTTGTTCCACTGATTAAGCAAACATAATTAATTAAGCAAGCTCAGACAGCACCAAGGATCCCGTATTTCAACCCTGGATTACAACTATTCTCCTTTAATGGTACAGAGTGTTTATTATTCTGGATTTAGCAGAAGTTCTTCTTTACTAATCAGATTTGTATGTTGCAGCTCAGTGGCTCCGAGAGCCTGGTGGACCTCTGGATCTTGAGTCGCCTGAGCCATGCCGTGGAGTTGTGCGATGTGGGATTTCAGGCCTACGACTTCTCTGGCATCACCACCGCAGTGTACAATTTCTGGCTGTATGAGCTGTGTGACGTCTACCTTGTGAGTGAGACCTCTGAGCCACCAAACTCTCATTCCCCCTTCATCGCGGGAGGCGTAATATTTCCGTTACATCCAGTTACAGATATTGCACTATTACATCCAAGGTGTAACGCCCAGATCAGCGATGGCAAACATTTTAGTGCTCCACCTGTTAAAATTTCAGGAAAGGCCTAACTCGACTCAGCTGGTGTGTCATATCCCTCCCAAACAAAAGAGAGATAATTCTTTACATGTTGATTCATTTATTTAAAAAATACAGTCCGATCGTGTCTATATAAAGAATGGTCAGATAATTACAAAAATGAAGTATGAGTAAAACAGAGTCATTTTCGGAGAGTCCAGAGGCTGCATAAGAGCACACCCTATTTGTATGCAGCTTTGTAGCCTCTGAAAATCATGTGAGAATGAGGTAGGCTTTCGAGGATAGTTAGGTGTTGGTGAACACTGGCATATTACCCAAAACTTCATGGTGTGTCTCCTTTGACACACGTGTCATAGGTTTGTCATCACTGGCCTTGAGCAATTTCCCCAGTCTAATGTGACTGGATGGGATCAGCTGCACCTGAGGACAGGATGATGATGATGATGATGATGATGATGATGATGATGATGATGATGATAATAATAATAATAATAATAATAATAATAATAATAATAATAATAATAATAATAATAATAATAATAATATAGAAAGACTGTGGCAAAAGCAAGCAAAGGTAGTACCAATAGTAATAGGCGCCTTGGGTGCAATCCCAAAACAACTGGAGCACCACTTGAACACCATTGGCATTGACAAATTCGCTATTAGTCAATTGCAAAAGGCGGCCTTACTAGGAACTGCTTCCATCCTGCGACGATATCTGTAATACCATCAAATATCCACATCTGCCTATCCCAGGTCCTGGGTAAGGACTCGATAAGTAGACAAAATGCCAAATCTAGTCTGAACATCTGGCTGATTGTGCGATGATCCATAATAATAGTAGTAGTAGTAGTAGTAGTAGTAGTAGTAGTAGTAATAATAATAATAATAATAATAAAGTTGGAAGGGACCTTGGAGGTCATCTATCCAACCCCCTGCTCAGGCAGGAAACCCTATACCAGTGGTTCTCAACCTTTTTAATGCCGCGACCCCAACCGGTCGTAAGTCGAGGACTAAACCAGTCGTAAGTCGAGGACTAAACCGGTCGTAAGTCGAGGACTAAACCGGTCGTAAGTCGAGGGCTACCCAACCGGTCATAAGTCGAGGACTTTCCCTGCCCGGGAGTGCCGCGCATGCGTGGTTCCGTCCCCTGCGCCGGCCGAGGCGTAGCTGGCAAGCGGCAAAGACGGAGCAGGCCGACCACCAGCTGGCCCAGCCCAAGGGAGGTAAGGCACCTGCCGGAAAAGGGGGGGAAAAATGGCGGACAAAAAAAATGGCGGACAGCCTTGCTTGGCGACCCCCATGGAATGGTCGATCGACCCCAAATGGGGTCCCGACCCACAGGTTGAGAACCACTGCCCTATACCATTTTGGACAAATGGCTGTCCAGTCTCTTCTTAAAAACTTCCAGTGTTGGCGCATTCACCGCTTCTGGAGGCAGGTTGTTCCACTGGTTAATTGTTCTAACTGTCAGGAAGTTTCTCCTTAGTTCTAGGTTGCTTCTCTCCTTGATTAGTTTCCATCCGTTGCTTCTTGTCCTGCCTTCAGGCGCTTTGGAGAATAGCTTGACT